GGTTTTTGGCTTGGATTGTTGGCCAACTTCTGCTTGCTTCAAAGGTATAACATTTACCTTGTTTATACTTGTTTTGTATACTTGTTTTGCCATCCTTTTCAACTGTTTTGGGGCTGGGTTTGAACCATAAAAAGCTCTGTTTTTGTGGCTTAAAAATTGTGGTTTGAGCCCCTTTTTAGTTAGGTGGTGGTTCACCCTTCTTGTTTCTTAGTTTATAAAGCTTTTGTGCCTTTATCCATCACTTTCAAACCAACCCTTTTGGGCCTTTTAACCACTGAATTTCAGAGGGTTTTCAGTGTAAAAATCTCATTTTTGAAGTCCAAAATTGGAGGGGTTAGCCTCCCTTCCGTGTGTCTTGTTTGCATGCCTAGTTAGCTTTGTGAGTTAGCAAGTTTTTCTAGCTTAACTTTATTCTAGTCCAGCATGTTTTTGCCACTGTTTTGACCTTTTTTGACTTTGTTTTGGGCTGGTTAATTTATTTAAGGCTTGTTTTGCATAGCTGTAGTGTTATTTCCTTCACTAGCTTGATGTTTTAATGCTTTAATCATCATTCTTTTGAGTTAATAGCATGTTTTAGTGTTTTTTTGCACTTAATTTCAGCACCTAAATCTCTGCAACCTCCCTCTTTGCTTCACTCTTTCATTTGCTTTTGAGGGTTGTTTCAAACTTGGGATCCTTTAAGCTTGAGATTGAGGTCATGCTCAATGGTTTAATCCTCTTTGAGGGTTCATTATCAAAGGCATGATCTCTCTTTTGCCTTACACTATCCCTTGGATGACACTTCCTTCACTGTCACGACCCAAACCCGCCCCTATAGGTTTAGCATCACAACCGGCCAGTAATACTTGGATTACCAAAGACCTTATGACAGATTAACATATAGATAGGGGTTGCGGAAGCAAATATATAAAATAGACAAGGTCCAATGAGCTGTGATAACTTACATGGGACAAAATAGCTTGAAACTTTTATAAAATACGAGTGAAGTTATCAGACATAATATTTACACAACACACATAGGGGTACATGACAAAAATCTCGCCCACAACTTAACAAACAAACATAGTCTAATACAGATTAGAAAAACAGCCACAAAACCAGACTTCATCAGGAACCTCCTCGGGAGGCGCAAAGGTTGGCTGACAAAACTGAAACGTAGGCCATCAACTCTAGCCCTGATCACGTGCTGACTCACCTACATACATAATATAAACAGCGAGCGGAAGCCCAGTGAATAATAACGGAGTAAAGAGTTTTAATGAATGAAGTTCAT